TGGCATTGGGTTTTCTTGGTTTGTTGTTACTGAATTTATATTTGAATACATAGCTTTTAGTTATTATGCTTCAAGCTATGAAGCATTTATGAGAAACCTTCTAAAGTGAAAGTGTGGATCCATTTGGGTAATTGATATTGCAACCACGTGATATTTGTTTTATCTTAACTGAGCATATACTATATAATCAAACAAATATTGACTAAGCTTTATACAAATTGCCGTCTTAGATGGTAATAGTACTATTCATTATTCACTCACATTTTATTAGTTTATGAATGATTTGGAGGCTTAATTTTAGCTATTTAGTCAAGCTTTTTTACTATCTCATGAATTTAGAATTTTAGCTATTTAACTTTTTTTTTTCAATTAAATATACTCGAAGGTAAATTTTTCTCCAGGGGATATTTCAAATTTAATTTTTTTTGTAATTGATTTATAATTTGTAATTTGTATAGTAACTTTTGAATGATTTGTAAATTGTTTAGTGAATTATGTTTTCTTAGTAATTAATATAAATCCTTTTATTAATTGTAATTGTTGGTTATTGCTGCATTTAAATTATAACTCAAAGATGGTATGTTAATGATGCAGAGGCTGAATTTGTATTGTACTATAACTCCATAAGTTATATTAATGTAAATCCTTCTTTAATTTGCTTAGTTTTTATATTATTGTTAGTAACAATTGGGTGGTGTTGCTAAATTTGAAATAACAAAAATTGTTGGATTTGAAATAGCACTTATTAATGTAAATCTTTATTAAATTTTTTTAATTATTAAATAGTTTAATTTGAAAGATTTTTTTTTTAAATAATTTGGGTTGACATGTCATGATGGGTTGACCCGGGTTTGAATTGGGTCGAGTTCAAGTCAGGGAAGATTACACAATACGCTAATCGAATTGGGTTTGAATCAGATAAAAATATGGTGGGTTATTTTTGGGTTTGACCTGAAAACTCATTTTCACATCCCTATATGTCATGTCAATTATATAATCAATATATTCCTGATATATGCGTATCCAATCACTTTAAGCAAGAAAAGTCATTCAACTATTTGTGGTGTTTTTCTTGTATCCATTCATTTAAGCCAACTTTATATGAATCAATTTCAAGCATATCAATCATACTTTCAGGAATTAGTCTTATCATAAGCTATTTAAGTCGGATGACTTTCATATTAGAAGTCGTCATTTTTTGTCCACCGGTTTATCATATCATATTAATCTGTCTCTTTATGTCACCTTTTCATATCATTAAGATTATATTGTAAACATTATTTTAAAAGAAAGCTCGTCGTCCCATGCACCCTCCTATATAGAATAACACATATTTAGCCAACTTGAGTCAACCAATCATTTATTGTTAGTCTTTATTACATATGCACATTTTATAGCATATTTAACATAATAAGCATCGGACACTACACTCAATATTTAGTTCACTATATCATATTAAATGCATGTAAATTTTGTATATGAATCAAAATTAGTGAAATTTATAAGAAAATGTTGTGTGTATTTTTACATAATATAATCACAATAGATAAATTGTACTTAATATGCATGTCATACACTCACATGAATAAATTTTATATATTCATGTCAATATGTACAGAATAATTAAAACTATAACATACTAAAAATTACATGATTGAAATTTTCTTAAAAATAGAAATATCACAATTTTTATAAGTTTTAATCATATTAAAATTCACAAAATACAAAATAAACTATAAATCAGAGATAGCGTAATAGTAACATATATTGAGATGAGCAACTGGACCGATTAACAAAAAAGACTATAAGACCTCCAAACTCTAACTTCTATGTCCTCTCTCCTTTCTTTTTTTTCCCCTCATTTTTCCTCCTTTCCTTCTATGTTAAATGAATTGAAGAAATTAGAAGTGCCATTTGTAAAGTTATGTTAGGCAACTTAAGATATTTTTATAATAAAATATCTAAAGGGAATATAGGTAATTATGCTATTTATTTAGATTTTAAGCTTATGATTCATATGAATCATTTTATATCTTTAAATTTGATGATTCAAATATTATAAAATAATATTCATAAATTAGCTAAGCATGTCTAGAATGATATGATTATAATCCTCCTGCTCCTCCCAACAGCTCCCTGGACTGTTTCCCCCCCGGGACTATGCTGTCCAACACTGAAGCCCTCCGCTTGACCTCCTTTGTGACGGATGAGGAGGTCAAAAATGCTATATTTTTTGGGCAAATCTAATTCAGCTCCAGGCCCGGATGATTTTAATTTCCTTTTATACAAATCTACCTGGCATATTATCGGCACCCTGGTTTGTAGGGCTGTTAACTCTTTCTTTCAAAAATGCTACATGTCAAATGGACTTAAAGCCACTGCTTTGACTATCATTCCTAAACACAAGAATGCTTCTGAAATCTCTGACTACAGACCCATTGCTTTATGTAATATTTTTTTATAAAATTATTGCAAATGTTATTGCTGTAAGATTGAAACCGGTCATGCCCTTGATTGTTATGGACAACCAAGCGGGTTTTGTTAAATCCAGAGTCTCCACCGATAACATTTTACTAGCTAGTGACATCCTCTCTTTTGTGGGAAAGAGTAAAAGAAGCAATATTTTTTGTGCAAAATTAGACATAAAGAAGGCTTTTGACTTTGTCAGTCAAGAATTTTTGCTTACCAGGCTTATTTAGAAAGGCTTCCCTAGGCTTTTTGTGAATTGGATAAAAGTCTGCATCACTGATGTCAACTTCTCTATTATACTAAATGGTGCTTTAGAAGGCTTTTTTTCTTCTTGTGGTGGCCTCAGACAGGGTTGCCCTCTAAGCCCTTACCTCTTCTGCCTTTGTGATGGATGCTTTTTCAAATCTTTTGGAGAGTAGGGGCTTTAGAGGTATCTCTGTTGACAACTTCTCTCTTACTCACTTGCTTTATGCAGATGATGTTTTAATATTTGGAGAAGCCTCTATTGATAATTGTAACAATTTGGCTAACATTTTGAGGGATTTTGGAAACACTACGAGACTCCATGTTAACTATGAAAAGAGTGACATCATGCTTACTAAAAACAAACGGAATGTTCAGGAAATTTGTCAATCTCTATCTATCCATAACATTGTTAACAATATCACATACCTAGGCATTCCTTTATCCTTCTACAAGTTAAAAATTGAGGATTTTTTTACCCCTTTTGGACAATATCAACAAAAAGATGAATGGATGGAAGGCAAACCTGTTGTCCTTTGCGGGTAGACTGCAGTACATAAAATTTAGCATTCAAAATACCATTGCATATTGGATAAGGGGGTCCATTCTACCAAAATCTGTCTACAAACACTTAAAAAAAACTAGCTCTAGGTTTTTATTATTTGGTGATTCTATGACTGCAAAAAAACTACATATGGTGTCTTGGGATAGATTCTGTTTGCCTAAGAATAAAGGAGGGATGGGCATCCCATCCATATCTGCTTTACAATTTGCATATAACTGTTCAGTCATTTATAGGGTGTATAATGTCCCCTCTCCTCTATCCAATTGGATTATCTGTCACTATAAGTTTCCTTGGATGCCCCCTCCTGTTTATGCATCCAAACTTTGGAAGTCAATTTGCATTACTGTTGTAGTTGTCAAACATTGTTTCAGCTTTACCATTTCTCAGTATGCCCCAATCACTTGAAAGATTTTATATTCGGTTCTCAGTGGGTTTTTCCTGAACATCTTCCTTTGAATTTGAGAACTCTCATTACTGGTTTCAATATTAATGTTAACACTGGCCATTGCTTGCTGTGGAAAAATCGAGATACTTACAATTTTAAAAACTTTATTGAGGAATTTTATACTGATTATCATAGCTGCTTGTGGTATAAGTTGGTTTGGGCCAAGAGAAATATTATTAAGCATTCTGTGTTTGTCTGGATGGCTTTTGCTGGTGGTCTCAAAACAGCGGATGCATTACACGCTCGAAACATTATGGTTCCAGACACCTGCAGCTTGTGTCATTCCTGCAATGAAACTATTCCACACCTATTTTTTGAATGTGATTATACTTTCCATGTTATCTCCACTCTTATTCATGGTTTGCAAAGCTTTCTCTTTAGGCCTACTATCATGCAGGTCTTTGACTGATTTAAAGGCCAATATAAAGGCAACAAGAAGGTTAAAAACTTCTTTTTTGTGTTTTTATGTTGTGTCATTTACCATATTTGGAAAGAGAGAAATGGTAGAAGGTTTGGGAATGTCATTAATTGCCATACTACTTTGATTTACAATGTTAAAAGGAACATTAATGAGAAAATTGCAACATGGGAAAATTCATTGGTTTATTTGGATATGCTGTAAGGTGCTGGGCTGCTGTTCCGTTGGTTCTGTCCTCCCGATTATCAGACGCTGCGATCATACATGTATGCCTGACCTGGACAATGATGAAGCTTCCGTTTTTGGCTCCCTTGGATGGCCTTCGGGCAACCAGGGACTTCTGAATTCCTCGTGTATTTCTATGATATTTTATGAGTCCAGGTCTTTATTGGCTCGGAAGCTCTTTTGGTGGGGTTCGTTCTTCCTGCAATCCAGTCAGTTCGGTATTATGCACTTCAACCAGTTTTGTCTTTTTCATGGCTGAGAGGTTATTCTTCTATTTTTTACTTCTGCAGCTAAGGCTGATAGGGTGTCACAGTATTTTCTTTATTTTTACAGCTTTTTCTTCGCTGTTATTGTTTTTATTGGCTGAAACTGGTATGTTGTGGTTTCAGTCAAGTTATTTTTTATGTATTTTTTTTATTATTCAATGAAATGGGCTTAGGCCCCAATTTTACCAAAAAAAAAAAAAAAAATCAAATATTAAATATAATACATAAATAAATTAACTATTATATTACATTTGTTTTAAAATAAATTTAAAATTTTAAAACTCAAAATAAATTCATCCTTATTTGAACCCAGGGTTCATTATGAAATTTGGGAAAAAATCCCTCCTTTAGAAAACGAAGAAAAAATCCGCCGTATTTCTCTCTCTCTCTCTCTCTCTCTCTCGCTCGCTCGCTCGCTCGCTCGCTCGCTAGGCTTCAACTGTCTCGCCGACTGTCGCTCTTCGATCACTCACTCAAAGTCAAAAATAGAGCATTGTCGAGTGAAACCTTAGAAGCTTCTTTGAGCTCAAGGGCTTACCTTTTTTGGTCTGATGATCTGCTACTGTCTTCTTGGCCATGGTGAAGACCAAGCAATCTTCCAATAGTGGTCGAGCCGGTCCGCGAAGGAGGTTAGGTTCAAATCAATCCGCGGTACAGAAGCAGCAGGAAAGAGGTCTTACCTCTGTCTTCGCGTGTTCATCTTACTTTAGTGTTTTTAGTTCTAAAACCCTAATCTGTTTTCCTCAGAATCCAGAGATACTACCTCTGCTCCAGAATCGAACCGCGCAGTACTAACTCATAGTTTTGAATATTTAATCACTTTGTCTTTTTGATTTTTAGTGAATAGCCATTTTGAAATTTCTGTGGAGGGTTTCAGGTAGGTGGCGCGGAGAATGCTGGGCAACCTCATGACGGAGGAACTCGAAATGGTTGCTTTTAAGATTCCTCAATAGATTAGATTTATTGTTTCATTCATATAATTATTTTATGGCGGTGTTGATACCTTCGGCTTTCAGAAGCGGCGGGGGAAGCACGCCGGCGCGTGAAGCACAGATTCAAACCGGGTACTGTGGCACTTAAGGAGATTAGGAAGCTTCAGAAGACTTGGAATAATCTGATCCCTGCCGCAGCATTCATAAGAATTGTTAGTACTTTCAACCTAAATGATTCTGATTTTTTGACCATTCATTGATTTAATGGCCCTCTGTCGGGCTTCCCCTCTTTTTCGTTATTAAAGTATATTTTGGGAATTCAAAACCCTCAGCTTAACTCAGAAAATGGCATTATACTTTTTTACATAACATTTTATTGGAAGATAATTCTCTTTTCAGGGCAATCATTGAATTTGGTACTTAGTGATAGGCTTTTCATGTTCACCAGAACTAACTTTTTTAGGCTAAATGGTGAACTTTTATGTGAATGCGGGGGTTTCTTTTCTCGTATTTGTGTTTTTGATCCTTTTGAGTTGTCAAAACTAGGTCAAGGATATGACATTCTTTTATTCAAAGGAGGTTAACCGTTGGAGAGCTGAAGCTTTGGTTGCCCTTCAAGAGGTAAATTGAATGTTATCCTTCTATTTCCGTCTCTATTTTTCGCATGGTATTTCATGTATGGAAAGTATACGTCATTTATGGGTTTGAGCTAGGTTAATAGCTTTTAATTTCAAAAACTAGTGATTTAGGAACTCGCCAGTTTATTTTCACCGTAGGACACCCAATTTGATCATGTGCAAATTGCAATTTTTGAGTTTGACTCCACTTCCTGAGGAGAAAGCAGTTTTTCACAATGTTTAGACACCTACTCCAAAAGATTAAGTCAATCATTGTTTTTCAAAGTGATATGATCGAGTACTCAAAAATATTAACCCAACCATTGATCAGTGTTGTTCAAAGTGCTATGATGTGAACACATTTGGTGTAATGTGACACAATTTAGAACCTATTTAGATAACATCACTTCAATTACAATGATTACTTCAATGATCAAGAATCGATTGAGAAGTCTAGTGTACTTTAAAGACATGCTTTTTTTAACAATCATTGCAAATGGTCTAATTAGTTTATGATTATATCTGACACAGAAACCAAGAAACTCTTGCATAAACCTAGAAATGTCCTTTTTATTTATCTTTTTCAAAAACTCTGCTCATTTTGCTATCAATAAAAGAACATTTGCAGGTTTACATTTGTTTTCTCAACATTTACTTGATTTATTGTCATTAACTTTTTGATATAGAATGTTTTGGGTCTTTGGTTTCAAATATAGAACTAGCATGCAATGTGGATTTATGCTTTGTTTGGTTCGCTTATGTTTATGCTTTTGCAACTAAAACTTTATAGATATTTTATGGGCCACAATTTTATATTCATTTGAAACATTGATAAATAAATGATTTGAGCATTTTTGTTTTGTTTTATTATTTGTTTGTGGACCTTCTTGGTTTGATGGATTATTGGATCATTGGTTTTGGAGATTGTGTTGGTCATCCAATGTTATTTGTGTTTCATGGGAAAGATGGTTATCTTGTTTAATGGTTCGCATTATTTAATATTTCTTTTACTTTTTATTTAACATGTGCACTTTACATTGTTTTTTCTAAGGGTTGTTATGTTATATGCTATGGTATGTTGAATTTTGGTTATAAACTAAAATTTTCTTGCCCTTGGACTACTTTTTCTATGGCATCCCATGTAATCTATTATGATGTGTTAACATATGTGTTCACTAGATTTATGTTTTGCTTCTAATTTTGTAGAAATCCACCCTCTATTACTATTTTCGGTTTTGTGTTACCATTTTATTCACCAGGTCACCTTCCTTGTCTATGGGTTCTTCTTTAGCATTGGTTATTACCTATTGGTTCCATGTTGATATATTTGTTCTCTTGAGAAATTATAGTAGTGCTTATTGAGAGCTTAATATGACTTTGGACCTATGTTGTTGGGAAATCTTAAAATCTGTTTAAGCTAGGATTTTGATGTTTATAAATATTAATTTTTTACACATAAAACTACCCTTTTTTCAATGAAATTTTAAACCTTAGTTTTCATTCTTGTGTGTGCATGTTGATGTGTGGTTTCTTTGGATGTGGCATAAGTGTTGCTATCTAATATTGGGAAGTCATCTCCTTAGCATGAGGCCCAGATCCTGTGCACTTCATTGACCCCTTTCTACTTGCAGGTTGTTTTGGCACAAGTGTTACATTATTTTTAAAAATTATACAATTTGGGCGACCGTGCTTCAAATGTATAGTATTTTTTGAGTGAATTTGGAAATCACCATAAAGTATATTTTCGATGTATTTGGAAGTTGCCCGATTTGGGTGAATTTCAAATATACAGCTTGTGTAAATGATGCGTCTTGGAAGTAAAAATAGCAAAGTGAACAAGCAGAAATGGCAGGAATATGAAGATAGGGGTTGATTTTGTAATTATCTCTTCAACAAGAAAGAAAGATACGAGTGATATACTATTTAGGAGCTAGATCGGCTCTCAAATAAACCCTAGGCGTCGCTTGGAAACTCTCAAAGAAAAATTACTGTAGAAAAAAAAAATCATAAATCAAAATAATAACATAGTTAGCCTTAAATAGGCTCCACTAATTCCTTCCCAAATAAGCCACTTTTCCCTAAATAATTTCCCTCCCATATTTGAATTCAATTTGGATATCTTTCCCTTAATGGTTAAAAATAAATTATGGGTTAGGTCAAACCTAGCAAGAGGGGGATTACAATTGGGTTCTCTACCCCTACCAAAAGCTCTACCCAAAGAAAAAAACACTAGGTTCGGCAACAATGCCATCATTTGATAGGTTTAAATTGACTTCACATATTGATTGGCCAAAACACGCCCTTGTACTCGTTCGTGTTACATCATTCCCAAAGAGAGTTCCAAAATGTTTGGTCAAACATTCTATAACAATTTTATTAGTTTTGCATTCTTATTCTTTCGATCTTGCAAATTCCTAGCATTGCTCACATGCGAACTGATTTACCTTAGTCGGCGAATACCAAGTCCATTGATCAACCTAGAATCTTATCAACCAATCCTAGATTAAATCAAAATTGGTCGGCCATATTGATAATCAATCGATAACCTCATGAAACATAAGAAAGCTGTGAATATAAAATATACATTGTCACTACTTGCATATAGTTGGGATTTTATAGTTCCTGTTATTAAGTTTGTATGCAATTCATTTGTAACAAACTTAAAGACATGAGTCCATTTAAAATATTTGCATAATTTTAACTTAAGGAACTTGTAGATATAATTGAAGCTCCTTCTATGCCTAGAACTAAAGTAGCAATCATTAGCATAACATATGTGATTTGCTTGAAGATACTTGTAGTAAAATTTTCATTAACTATAATAATTATGTGGCTATTATACATGTGAAGATGAGATTTGTGGAGTACAAACAAATGATATGATAATGGCTTATTTAATCTTTGTAAAATTTCCTACAAATCCTTAAGAAATTACCCACTAGAAAAATGAGATCATATAAAGTCATACAATAAATTTTTACTTATTAAGTTAGAAGGCTAGATTTTTTTATTTTATTATTAAATAATGCATTTTTACAGTAAATATTTTCTTGCAGGCAGCTGAAAGTTTTGTAATAGAGTTGTTTGAGGATGCAAATCTATGTGCCATTCATGCAAAGCGTGTGACCCTAAGTAAGTTTGGTTCAAACTAAGAGGTTATGCCATTAATGTGAATATTCAAATACATTATCTTCTCTATAATCATTTATTTTCGTTTAGCATTTGCGGCTTATTCAGTATATATTGTTTACATCCGAGTTTTTCTTTTTTTTTTCCCTACATATATAAATAACAGATCTTGATTCCTATTAACTGTATGTATGTAATATATCTTCAGTATCTGAAGTTTCTATCTAAATTACAAAAGTTTTGTTGGTTTGCTAACAATATGCGTCCCATATTCTTCTAATGCATTTTGTTCAATTTTCTATTGCCAGTTCCCTCAAAGGGTTGTTGCTACCTGGATTTTCCTCTCAGCCTTTACATAATATGCAATTATGCATCTTTCTGTCTAAACATAGAATCAAATGGTGGATAGTTTCCTCTGCCTCATCCTGATTACCATGATCATCATCTTAACCTCATTTTTTTTCTGATAAATTTGGAAACCTGGTACAATGCTTATGATTAGCGATTATATTTAGGCTTCATTTGGGACGGCTTTTTCACTGCTTCTTAAAACTGCTTTCATGTACAAAAATTTAATTTTTGTACATGAAAGCCGCTTTAAGAAGCAGTGAAAAAGCCGTCCCAAATGAAGCCTTAGTCGATTACTTAATGCTCTATAGAAGAAAGGAATGTGCCCAGTTGATGTAGATCTTTTCTAGATAATATCAGGCTAACCCTAAACCCAGAACATTAAATTCTTTAGTGAAAGCTTTGCCAAAAATGATTACTACATTTTTGTTTTTTTTATTTTTTATTTTTTTACAATAGAATTACTCTACTTTCCGACTATTATAATCATAATCACCAATATTACAGTAGTTACTGCCATTATTTTTTCTCTTCTTCTTCTTACTCATTATTATCATAGATTTTTGCATTATCAACTAGTAATTTGCCTCAATTGACAGTGCAAAAGGACCTTCATTTAGCGCGGAGGATTGGTGGAAGGCGGCATTGGTGATTTTTATAAACAACTATATTGGTGTTGGCAAAATTATTAGTCCCTCGCCAAATTTATAGATTTCTCTATCGTAAGAGTTCCATTCTCATTTATACCTTCATTTGATGTCTTAGTGCTTTATTTTGTGCAAGTTTTGTATGCTATTTAAGCAAAACTACTTCTAAATTAGTTGGATATTGATTTCTCTCGGCAGTGATTTTTCTTAGAAAATTTCCTTTCTAATAGGAACAGTTATGCTGCTCTGTTTTTTTTTGGGACATTTAGGCCATTTAAGGCAAACTCACACACACAACGCATACACATGGACTCGAACCTTGGACCTCTTAGTTGGAAGCCTAAGCTCACAACCAATAGGCCAAGGGGAGTTGTGTTGCTGCTCTGTTATTAGTGTCCATTTGACAACAAGCCTTTTGTTGACTCTCTTTATTTGATTTGTTAGATTAACAGTTAATTTCGTTAGGTTTTTCTTTTGTTTTGTTTTACTAAGTCTGATCTTTTAGGGGCTGTTTGGTAGCACCCCGGATTTAATTTAAGCAGGATTTCGTAAATCATTTAAATCAGGATTTCGGAAATCTTGAGGGGCTTAAATCCTGAAACTCTTTGATAACATTCATGATAAATCCTTTTAAATATCATGTGAATGTTTGGCTATAGGGTAGGATTTATCGAGCAGACCCTTCCTCTAGTGTCATGGATATCGTAAATCCGGCAAAATATAGGATTTTAGAAATCCGGGATTTAGAGCGGATCGGCGGAATTTTCCGTCTACAACGGATTTCGTTTTCCGTGAGATTTGGTTTTGTATTTTAGGTTGTTTGGCTGGATTTCGTTCAAATCCGGCCGCCTAAATCCTGCTACCAAACAGCCCCTTGCTGTTTCATGGATATCAGGAATGTATTTTTAGACTATTTTCTTTTCCTCAATGAGAGGAGTGATGATTATCTATTTGATCATCTGATCAAAACTGGGAGGGAGGCTTGTAGCTGCCTAACGGGCATTGTGTTTAAAGTTCACGGTTTGCTCAAAACTATTAGTTTGATTCAGATGTAACATAGGCATGTTTATAATTTTTTGAATTCATTTGTGCTATTCAAAACTCTCTTTTGCCTTTACCTCTAACACAAAGACTATTCAGGCCACTTTGTGACCTCCCTAAACTTTCAAGTTAACTTCATCCTCTTAATTTTGTGCCACCTGCTCTTGCTAAGAGAATTATTTTGGCCTCTCTTACTAGCCTCTCTAACCTTTCAATGCCTCTTCATCTACCACCTTTTAAGTTGTGTCACATATGTATGCTGAGAAGGATGTCTTGATATTTATGTAGCTCATTTTGATCTGTTGGTTAGAAGATTTGCTATTAACCAAGAAGTTTTGAGTTTAAAGTTTATGTATGTGATGTGCTCAAATGTTAAAAAAAAAAAACTCCTAACTTTATTGCATCGCAAAAATCAACGATGCTTACAACATAATACATTCACTTGCTATGTGTTGCCTTCTTCTAAGTTCCCTTCCTTAGTTAACCCCGTATTTTTCTTTCTGAGCTTTTCATGAAAAAATCCCATGCATCCACTCTGTTGATTGTGTGGGCTATTATTCATAATTAAGACAATCAAAATCTTTTATACATTTTTTTTAAAAGCATTAAATATAAATATTCAAATATAGGTTTCATTTATGACAAATTTCTTACCACTTAACATTTTAGATTGCAATCACAATTTTTATTCGAGAGCTATTTTTTCATTATTTCCAATAAATTTTTGTGCTAGAAAAATACTTTCTACAATATTCAAAAAAGTTTTTTTTTTTGACAACAGCTTTACAAATCACCTTTATAAAAACCTGTAGCTTTTGCAAACTAATTCATAGTTTAAATCTAAAAATATTTATAAATTCATTTTTGCATAAGTGCCTGTTTGGATGACTACAATGTTTTATAAAGTTGACTGTAAAATTTTTGTGAGAAAAACAACTTAGTAAAGAAGTAGCTATTCACTGTAGAAAATGATAAAACAAATTAGTAATAAAATAAAATTATGATTGCTATTTGAAAAATAAAAATAATGAACAAATTAATTAGCAAACTGATTTTCAGTTTATTAGTTTTTATTGGAGTCAAGATTAGCTCACCCAAAAATCAAACTATTTGATCTTAACGTGACTATAATTTCTGTAATCTTTTTCTTCCCGAAACTCACGCTGGCTGTCAAAAGCTTGCTGAAGGTTCCGAAGGTTTGTTCGAAAGCCGATAGTTGGTTAGAAAATGCCGGTGCTAACCTGTACGAAGAGTACTAATTAATTACAGAATAAGAAAAAAAAAGGTTAGAATATTCTTGTATAAATTAGTTTATAGAATATATTAAAAAATTAAATGTATTTCAATATAATATTAAATATTAAAAAATTATATTATGTTAATTTTAAAATAAATTTAGTGCTTTTTAAGTCTATTCTGACAAATTTCCTTAAAACAATTCATGGCCTGAAATATAGTCCGAATGTACAATGAAAAGATTATAAATATCAAAATTTTTAAGATATTGGGAGAATTTAATCGTGATTATATAAAAAAATGTTAAAGTTTTAAATTTTTTACAAAGTAGAAGCTTTGAGATAGTTTTTTTAATTATTTTTTAATACAAAAATATGTTGAATTAGAAATTTTTTTAAAAAATAATAAAAAAAATTATGTCAAATGAAGCCTTAACTACTTAGAACGGAAACTTAAAACAATTTTTTAGTATAAAAAATTAAAATTTTTGTACTAGAACTATGTTTAAAGAAACAGAAAGAAAGTTGTTCCAAACAAATTCTTAACTTCTCGAACAAAAATCAGAGCTGTCCAAAAATTTAAAATCAACTTGAAAGTCAGTTATAGAATATATAAATCGCTATATTTAGATATAATCAAGCTATCACCGAGCCAAATAAAATTGAAAAAGAACACAATAAATACAAGAACTTCTAAAAATTAGTCGTAGTTGTTGAAAAATTCCATCCATGAGCCCAATCTTTGGTCTTAAGTTTTAGACTTCGTTTGAGATGACTTTTTTACCGCTTCTTGAAGCAGCTATTTAGTACAAAAGATTTAATTTTTATACTAAATATTTGCTTCAAGAAGTAAGAAAAAAACTGTCCCAAACGAAGTCTTAATTTTCTCTACTTTGAATAAAGAGTTCATAACCATCTCAATCAATAATGTAATAATATTTTATTTTGATAATGTCAATAAGAGTCCTCTAACAGTATGGAGAATTAATGGAAGCATAAAGCACCGCACATATTGTTGAAAAATGCTATGAGAGTCATATATACATCCAAAGCTAAATAAAGAGTTATAGTACTAATATAGCTATTGTGTTGGTCAACATAAATTTATTATATAGTTTGCTAACTAAATTCTTATTATGAGTTTATTATAATATATTTTGTTATAAATTTTTTTTATCAGTGTATTAAATTAATAATATATTTATTTTGATCATTTGATTCTAATGTGAATGCATTAGTATTTTTTTTAATTGAATAATTATTGCAATTACTAATTGCAATTACTACATTTCAAATAAAATTTTAATATTTTTTAGCAAATATTTATCCTCTTTATTTGACAAATGAAGATGGGGATATTATCAGCAAAATTCAAGTTGGATGGTTGAAGTGGAGGAATGCATCGGATTTGTTATGTGATAGAAATGTACCCCTCAAACTTAAGGGAAAATTCTATAAGATGGTAGTGAGGCCTGCAATGCTTTATGGCGCCGAATGTTGGCCATTGAAAGATAAACATAATACTAAGTTAAGTGTGGTAGAGATGAGGATGCTCAGGTGGATGAGTGGCTTTAACCTTAGAGATAGGATACGAAATGAGCATATACGTGAAAAGGTTGGAGTTGCTCCAGTAGAAGATAAGATTAGAGAGAGTAGCCTTAGATGGTTTGTTCACATAAAACGGCGGCCTTCCGATGACCAGGTTAGGAGAGTAGAGGTATTAGATTTGACTTATGTTAAGAAAGGTAGGGGTAGACCTAAAAAGACTTGGTTAGAAAATATTAGGAATGACCTTTCTTTATTAGATTTAAACGAGAATTTGACTTTTAATAGGACACAATGGAGAAAAAGGATTCATGTAGTCGGCTCCACGTAGTGGGATAAAGGCTTGATGTTGTTGTTGTTGTTGTTGTTGTATTTGACAAATGAATGTCCGTAAAGTAATTTTGAGCTGAATATCATAAACGGTATAATTTTAATTTGTGGCATTGGATATTCAATAATCTCTTTTAATCAATGGGCCACGAGTTCTTTCACTTGTGTAGTAATTTCAGAATTTCAAATTTGTATAACCAAATTGAGAGGCGAATAAAATTTATTGATGAAAAGATGAGACAGTGTGAAGGAAATTCAGCTCTTCAAATTCTAAGATCTTGAAGGCCATTTGTGCAGGGGAAATAGCATGGACTTGTTAACTCTCATAGATATAGCCATTTCCAAGGGTAGTCTTGGAATTTATAAGTATTACTAATTGAGATGCTGACCCTTCTTATGGGAATTTGATTTTGGATTAAATGCTTTGACAACCATAGCCCTAATGGAAGATGTTCATTCTTATAGCTTGTGGTTGGAGTTTATTGAGATTGTAAAAATTTTTATTGAATAAAATATAAGTTTTGATGTTAAATACATTTCAAAGTGATGTTGAACTCATCCGATTCATGTTGGAAAAATAGTCTGGCTCGATTTAATGATTGAGAATATTTGCATTTCTAATTTTGTGAAATTTAACTCTATTTTCATTCAAATTAAATCATTATCATTTATTAGTAGCCTTGTCACTATTTTAGAGAAGTTTCTTTGAATAAGTTTTATTTTGAATACTTTTTTGTGTTTAGATTCTCTTTTACCTCTATGTTCGTGTTGCGATTATGCTTATGGCTGAGTGCAAGCGAGAAGAATATATTGTGCTTTGTTGAGGGCCGAGAAGAGCTTACCAGAATGAGCTGAGATGAGGCTCTGACATGTTAGTTTTGTGACTGTTTTGAATTGAGCTATGTGATTTCTCATCCAGGGCGACAAAACAACTATGGAGGATAGCTTTGTTTTAAAATTGCTCCTTATTTGTTCACGTGGCGTTCAATTATATAATAACTGTAAATATAGTAGTTTCTCTCATTCAAAGTAGGGACGGTATGGCCTTCTTTCTTGTGAACTTTAGCTAAAGCTGGCTGTGTGGTCCATTCTATGTCATTAATAGCAACTATGACAGAAGAAATTATTTAAGTCTCTGGTGGACTGGACTGAGAGATCTTTCTTTATTTTTCTCTTAAGAAATTTTACTATGTGGCATCTTTTTTTTTTAATTATTTAAGGAAAGTATACTCAGAAGCATGAAATTTAGAAAAAAAAGTAAAGACCTTCTATGAACAAGCATTTGACATGCAAACATGCCCTCAAGTCTCAGGAGAGGCTTTCGAAGGGCAAATTATTATGTCCAGACGCGCCACATCATCAAAATGCATCAGAATCCAATGTATTCGAGTGACGTGGTGCCTCTGGATTCAGTGTCTAGACATCCGGACGTAATAATTCGCATTTCGAAACCCCCTCCTCTCCTTCTTCCATCTCCCCCTTTCTGCAACTATTTACACCGTCTACCCCCGCCGGTTATTCGCCATCTCTCACTAACAAGAATAGTGAGTGCTGTGCATTACCCTCTTCAACTTCTCCAGAATCCCAGCCGCCTTCCTCATAGCCCTCGACGTCCCGCCGCTCGCCAGCTTTGATATCGTCCCGTTCATCGTCTCCTCCTCCCCAACCTCCATCAGCTTCCTCCTTACACCGGAACAAACCGCATACAATACCACCACGGCGTTCTCCACATTCTTCGCACTCCCACCCTCCCTCAAAATCTTCAGCAGCACAGGCACGCCGCCGCCATCCGCCACCTCCTCCGCAGCTTCCTGATACCCCGACAGCAACGCCAGCAATGCTAATGACTCGTCCATGATCGTCGATGAGCTGCTCGCGATCTCCGCAATGCAGGCATCCACCGCACCGGCTTTCACGGCCCGGACCTTGTTCTCATTCAGCATGCAGAGGTTGAAGATCGCCGACGCTGCATCCTTTTTGGCGGCCGGGCTTCCGGTCTCAAACAAGTCTATGAGCGGAGACATTGCGCCCAATTCGCCTATCTTCACCTTGTTGGAGTCCAGAGCAGAGAGGGTGAACAGAGCGGCGGCGGCGTTACCCTGGGTGTTCATTGTGCCACTCGAATTCATCGATTGGATGAGAAGGGAGACGCCATTGCTCTCACCGATGCGTTTTTTGTTGGCGTCGTGGATGGAGAGGTTGAGCAATGCGGTAACGGCGTCCTCCCTGAGCTCGAGATCAGCACCGGCAGCGGATAGAATGGAGAGCAGTTGGGAAATGGCGGTAGGGTCTTCGCCGACGAGAGCGCGGAAGGATCGGCTTCGTTTGGTGAGCTGGCGGAGTGATTTGACCGCCTGTTTGCGGTCGATGGCCGAAGGGGACGAGAGGTCCGTGAGCAGGGTGGAGAAAACGCGGCGTTCTGAGAAGGTAATGAGGCCTTCGGTGTCAGGGTTTTCCGGCGGTCGGAGATCGACGCCATGGTCGGCGCACCACTGGGAGATCATGTTGCGGACGAGGTGATTGGGGGTGAGGATAGTGTTGGAGAGAACTTGCTGTGTTTGGGGACAAGTCCTGTTTCCGGAGCTGAGCCATTCTTGAATATAGGCTCTGTCATAGGTCTGCAGAAAATAACAAACAGCATTGATGGACATTGGAATGGAACAGAATTACAGACCAGAGGAAGATGTTTATAGGAATGAAATTAACAAGAAATATCAATCCGAGTTCTCTGTACAAGCAACAAATAAGCGAAAGAATCAATAACAATTAAAAGAATTGACGTTAAATCCCAGAAATATGGAACGGTTACAGAATAAGGTAAGCTGAAAGCATTTTTGAGAAATTTCTCCCATAATTATATGGCATTTGATCGAGGGAAGAGAGGCGATTGAGACAGACTGTAAAAAATGGGGAAAGAAGTGAGAATTAGAAGCAAATAATGCAGTGGGGAATCAAATCTGTAGACTGCAGATAAGCGAAACAAGTGGCACAAATAATAGAAGAGTAAGCGACAAAAAGAGTTTATAAGAAAACTACTCGTACATATCAATTAAATTTATGAAAGACTTATTCTGGAAAGATTTTTATTGATCGATTTCAAAAAACATAAATATGCCACAAGTCTTTTATAAATTTTTTCTTAGAAAGTATAATATTTCTCGTAACAAACGCTTTACTAATAAGAAAATCTTTAAAAAACTAAAAAAATGAAAACAAAAAAATTGATAAAAGGTAGTAACGAGAAAATGAATCGAAAGGGAAATTAGGCGTAAATGAGCAGTTCTTTAATGGCTTCAAATCTTCAAAAGACATGATCGGGTTCTGATCTAAAATAATAAATGAAAAGTTGGGAATACTAGGAGTAGCGATTTCATGGGAAATGACAGTTTGAATGGAAACATATTCGAAGAAAAACCGTAAAAGATTTACGGAAAAACAGAACATCTTGAATCGGGAAAATCCCTAACGATTAGCTTTCGATTTCAAATCTGTAAGTGACAGTGGCAACAAACCCTAATTCGAATCATTCGTACCTCACCGGTTGCAAGAACGACGGGATCCCTCATGATCGCAGACGACAGCGGGCAGAAGAAATGCTTCGGTACTGACACTGACGCTGGAGTCGAAACCGGCGATTCGATCGCGCTGGTCACTTTCTTCTCAGATCGCTGCTGATACTTTACCTTCTGGTCGGATGGCGACCCCTTCCGGCCGGGGATTCCGGCTCCGGAACCAGTGCGCAGCTCCCTTAATGCTGCGATTACCCGTCCAGCATCCTCGTAGGTTTCCGATCTCCCTTCATCGTCCTCCACGATCGCCTTCATGAGTCTCCTCAGCTCTTTCTTCAGTTCTTCCGCCGTCCTCCGGTCTGCCAGCGCCGCCCCTTCCGCCGCGCCGGACTTCGCCATCGACCTCTCCCTCCCCTCCTAAAACCTTACCAATCTCAATCGCGAAAATCCTAATCGAATTACTTGTTTTCTACTTCACTGGCTTCCTCTGATTCCTCTTCTTCTTCGTCTGGCATCTCTCTCTCTCTCTCCAAGAAAGGAGACGAGAGAGGCGTTTAAGGGAAGCCTTCTTTAATACGCGTCTCAATTTAACCAAGCGGCACGAGTGTAATCCAATCTCCTATAGCATTCTAATACCTCTTATCCTGATCCGCGGAGCATGTTAAACCAGAACCTCGCCGGTGCCACTGCCGGGTGGTCCTGGACCCGGCTTTCAACAAGAGGTGAACCGCTGGGTGTCGGCGAGAGTTGGTGCACCGCAGGAAGGAGCTGGCAATGAGGTAGGACCCACATGGTAAGAAATGAGAATGGGTGACCCACGCGTTCCGCAATCATGGTTGCTTGGCTGGACAGCTGGCAGTTCTTTAGTTATTCCGAATTACATGTGAGAAAATGGGAATTACAATTTTAACCTTCATGTGCCATTTTGTTTTTCATTGCTTTACAGGTGCGGGCCTGCGGCGGTGTGCCTCAGGCCTTGATCGGCCAAATAACGTTGACGGCGGCTTTTGTTTCCCCGAGAAATACTTTCAAGCATTTAAATTCAACTTTTGAATATTACTGGATGGAAAAAAGTTATGATAATATCCTATTATATTTTGAATCAGAATAGACTTTAAAGATTTTAAATTTATTTTTAATATTAATATAATATAAATTAATTAGGTAATACATAATTAATATGAATTGCTTCAAGGGGTAATTTTATTTGCTAAAAAAAGAAGGCAATTGCTCCCAATATAATGAAATATATCGTGTAATATATATGTTATTGTTAGAGAATGATGAAATAAATACAAAGAGAAATAGTAAATCAAAATTTGTTCCGGAGGCGCTGTACCCGGAAACCCCCGACTGGGGCATTGCCCCTTAACTCCGCGACCTGAACGGGCAGGTCGAACCCCGCCAAGGGGCACTACCCCCTTAGACCCCCGACATATATGCGAACAATTACTTATAAGTTTACCCTCAATGAAAATTATGGCTGGTTACCCCCCTGGTGGCCAATGAAGATTGTGGTTGGAGGGGTGGTAGGAGGTGGAGGGCATTGATGGCGACGGCTTGCGATGGGTGGCTAGTGGTTGCAACAACAACGATACAGAATTGGCCAACTTTAACAAATTTCAAATACACAAAAATTACATTAGAAGACACAGTTCAAATACTTCAAAATTTTACTTCAAACTAAACAACCCCTAAATGCCTTCTAATTCAATTTTTGTGAAGTACTTGTTTGATTTGATTAATGTAACTTATAAGCATATTGCACTTAATCTACTCGACTACAAAGGTTAGGATAATCAAATCACTAATCACTAACACATTACGCAGGTTATTGCTCACAATATATGTAAGATAATTGTATAAAGATAATGCTAAGAGCGAATGTTTATAAGTTTATTTACAATTAAAAAAAATGTACTAAACAACTATAGGGTGTGATCTATAACTTAATTCACATGTTAAAATAAATTTAATGGGAAGTGCAATAAATGTAGAATCATTTAAACATGTAAACATGGAAAGCTCTAATTAATTAAAGAATGTCCAAGAAATTAAAATTAAACTTATTCATCTTATAAATTATGATAAGATTGATACAATTAACATAAATATGCATAATTAAAAAATTTATTAAGCAATTTAGGAAAGTTATGATTGATTACATCTAATAACACACATGAGTGATCAACTTCATGATGATCAGAAAATTAAATAAATGATATTTAATAATATGATAAATAAAAAAAAATTGTCATATAAAAAAACATGAAATAGTTTTTTATAATATCTAAAATACATTTTGAGTAATTATAAATAAATTTTAATCAATTTTATTCATATATTATTCATCTATAACACTTTGGATTTAAAACTTAATTAATTTACCATAAAAAGTATTTAAACATACTTACTAGACTTATAAACATTGGAACAACGCTTTGTATTATTGAGCTTAAAGAATTTATGTATTTGAGCTCATTTCCAAGTCACAAGTTCCCAAACAAGCTGATTGAATTTGAATATTATCATGTTCGTATTTGTTGATAATTGATTCAACCTATGCGAAAAATACTAAACAAACTATTGAATAATATAATATAAAATTTGTCATCATTAGATCATTATTAAGCCATGCATGATCCTCTTAGCCTCATTGTAATGGGTTCAAGTAAATGAAGAGACAAGTTCTTGATCTTGATTACTTCTTAAACATAATGAGTTACCAATAAAGAAAAGTTAATAAATTAAAAGCAAATGAGAAGAGAAACATATATGTGGCAACATGTAACATGATTATAGTGGTTCAATTATTCATATAACAAAACATGTCCATTATTATAAAGAAAGGATGAGTATTTTCACAATTAAGAATAAAATTATATGATTTTCCCTCCACAACCTTTAACTTCCAATATCTTAACAACAAAAGAAGAAGATGTCTTAGTGCAAACACTCAATTTTCTATATGGAAGCATCTTTACAATAGTCTTTACATTTATTCTTTCTTCCTACATATGATATGGATGCTCTAATTAATAGCCATTGCTAGGTTGATAGGAAGACCCAATCTACTCTATGATGTCACGCCCCATAATCTAATTTAAAAGAATTCTTTAAAAAAAAATCTTTTATTATACAACAATCAGATCTATCTAATTTTATTTATCAGTAATAAACAACGAAAAATAAATTCTATAACTCAAAACATCAATACACATTTATATTCAGTGACCCAAAAATTAATTATATAATTATATAATCACAACATATCCTTTTATTCTTGACTATACAAGAATAACTTAAAAAAAAACGGAATATGAGGAATTCTAATCATTCTTACACTCTTAAATCTCTTCTATGATATGAAATCATTTAAATTACATATAATGAGTTAAAAAGTCCAATAGGTCGCAAAAACCTACAACTAAACTTAAAGCACGGTAAATGAGCAATATCCATGTCAATGCTCAAATCATAATAGTAGCATTCATGTTATTAATGAATTAGTGCAAAAATAATAAGACTCACATGCAGTAGTGGTAAAGTCTGTAAAGTAGTAAAATAGTACGACATGGAAGCTAGTAAAATAGTACAATAAGGAAACAAATTAGTTAGTACAGGTGTCGAATAAATAATATAGTCATCGTATTAGTATTATCAATCAGTAGAGAATCTTATAGAGTGGTAAAACCAATGCATTGGTATAGACTATCAAAATTATATTAATGTAGAAAAATCATGTATGAGTATACCCATATTATACAAATATTTCATATAAATATTAAATTAGTATATTACATGCTCAAATGTCACATACTTAGTGTAATCTTTGTGATATTTAAAAAGGATATATAAGGAGACTGATTGATGTGATATGATATGTCGACAACAAGAAGTGACGACTTCATACATGAAGACCACTTTAACATGTGATATGTGATTGATTCTTGAAAATATTATTGATATGGTTGAGACTGATTATTATAGGGTTGAACTATAGTAGATGCAGGAAAAAAAAGTCATAAGTAGTTAGGTGTCCTATCTTGTTTATATATGCATATGATATAAGCATATATGACAAATTGCATAAGAAATAAGTGACATTATATGATACAATAAGTATGTGATACAAAAATCATAATTGATAAGATTGATATAATTGCATATATATACATAAACTATATGATATACGTGATATACATTACATATGATATTGAAATTATATGACATGCATATACATAACAACAATGAAACTATATATAAAGCTCATATGATTGATAAGATTAATACCATATACATTGCATTTGATAAGAACTATGATGTACACATATATTATATACATGCATATTATAGATGTAGTAAAATGAATATTCGATTAATGATAAATGTACTGATTTATATAAAATAAAATATGAACTGTCTTGTAATATATGTATGGGTATAGAAAATGACATGATGTATTGATTTTATATATTACTTTTGTTCACTGATTATGAATTACATTGCTTACATTAATTTTTATTGCTCATGTGTTATGACATTATTCGCATTGACTACTACATGCTTTAATAGTTATACGTTCAGATATTGATTAAATGATTACATGCATATTACTTTTTAATGTCATGCATTGATTGTAGTTGTAGGTTTGGTAACCTATTGAGCTATTAGCTCACTTTGTGATCTTTACATATTTTTGAACAGGGGCCAGGAGCCCAGGATCTAGTGGAATAAGATCGATCAGGATTTAGGTTTTGTATTGTTTTCTATATTTTTGTTTATCCTTTTGTAGTCAAGAGTATATGAAGATAGATGATATAATGATTGAACTTCTGACTCTTGTATAAGAATTTTAAGAAATGAATGAAATTGTAAAAGAAGAAAAGGATTTATAGCATCTTTAGCTACTTTTATTTTTAATTTGGTAGTCTAATTGATGGATAAAATATGCAATTCTGCCAAAATTGATCTTGCATTATCACATTACTTTATTCAGTTGTGTACTTTACTTTTGGGCAAAGATAATAATTATAATAATAGACTACGGGTCTATTTGATAATCAAAATTAGCATTCTACTACACAAATTTTAAAAATATCAAGAAAATAAACGCCAATCAAAAGTGTGGTAGTGTTTTAAAAAGCTAATCAATGAAAATGTTGCTTCAAATATACCCTACAATTACTCAAAAATATTTTATTTAGCAAGGTCCCACAATTTTATATATGGCCATTGGTCAAAGATTAAGGGTCTGGTTAGGAAAATTTTCTCACTACTTCGTTTTTTAGATTGCTTCGAAACATCCATTTAGAAGTAAAATAAATGATCGACAATCATAAATTTTTTTTCTTGAAGTAAAATAAATGCTATGTAAAGTTCAAATATGTTAGTTGTCAATGACCGACAATGACAGTGATGTCTGATGGGGCGGACATCGATGGTGGTGGCAACAATTGACGACCAAAGGAGAGTGGCAGCGGCAACGACCAGGGATGAGGTGGCAGTGGCAGTGGCTATCGGAGGTGGGTGGAGGTCCAAGGTATCGACAGTGACAATGAACTTATGGATCATTTAAAA